GATATATATATATATATATATATATATATATATACATATGCATTCCCCTAATTCCTACCAGAAACTAGTCTTTGTGTCACAGTTACTTAGAGCCTCCACCCTAACAAAGTAACAGATATAAACAAAGTGGCCTCAGAATTAATTAGAACATTCACACTAGTGAGTGAGAGGCCATCACAAACAGGTAAAAACAATGAGTTTAGGTGCAGGAATCAGCATAATATAGGTATAAAAGAAAAGCACAATTTTAGGAAGTAAATTGGTGCATAAAGGGGAAAGAAGCCATTTACATGGCCATCAGTCAGATTGATTTCAAGAATCCTAAAGTCTTAAATTCTTCTTTTTTCATGAAGAATGATTAATATAATAACAAAATAATGTGAAATGTGGCATCTACGAGTTACTGCAAAGAAAAAAATGTTCTAGTTTAACCTTTTCCTGTTTCTAGATTCCCGTTCTTTGACACTCATTACTACCTTTATGCAGGAACCAAACACAGCTTTCAAGCAAAGATTTCCTTTTCCCCCAACAAAATTGATTAATAGAATTCAAAAGTCCATCAAAATAAAAACAGAGCACACAAGTAATCCAATGAAAGTGATTAAAGGGCCAAAAACAATAAATAAAATGGCCTCCATAAAGTGAATAAACCCTAAATGATATATATTTCACTTATGAGTTACTACATCTCAAGGACATCCATCTATATTTAATCTTATGCATGTTTAACTATGTATAGGTATACATATATCTCCACATCCAATTTAACCACTGGCAAAGTATCACTGTAGAAAATTTGAAGGGTCATTTATAATTAATATAGCATGGTAGATAAATAATAATATCCACACTTCTCTTAGTCTGAAAACCTTTAAAAACGAAAAAGAACAAATGAATCATTGAATTTTTCCCATTGAATCCCAGAAAGTTAACTTACCTCGGGAATTTCCTCCCTTGCATCGACCGGTGCTCCATCAGCCATCATTTTATCTACTTCAACCAGTCTAATAAATCCTAGCCATGAAAAAAGAAATAGAAAAATCACATAATATATAAGCATTCATTCGGGAATTTCAGCCATAATACCAAATAATACAATCACTCTATTCATTTACCAGAGCAATATAAACTTAACTACTTCTATACCCATGAAGCAAAACGAAACAATATCGACGAATTCCCGTATAATTAGATTAAAAAAAATTCCAGATGCATACAAAGATATAGTAGCCCTAAAATATCGGATTTTTACCTTATCAGTACTGTTAAACCAGTAAAATCTTAATCTCAAGCAAATTAAGAATCTATTCTCTCAGAGAAACCCCAGACCAGTTGTACATATTATCAAATCCAACAATCACTAAAATAAAGCCATTGATGACTGGTTTTATCATCAATGCTATTGAATACTACTCCATTGTAATACTGGTTTTAAACCATCAAGATCTGGCCCTATGAACATGAAATAGCCAATTTTGAATACGCTTCGAAAATAGCACCACATTATCAAACCCCAAAAAAAAAAGTACATGAAAAAAAGGCAACCATAGGCCTCATATGATTAAAAGTAACAGATTCTGTGCATGTTACGGTCAATAAAAAATAGCAAGTATTATGCTTATCGATTAATGGATATCTACAACAAAAAATAATAATAATAAAACAGAAGGAAAAACATATCAAGCAATCTATTACTACTGTTACGAGATTGAGGTTCATACCTTCAGAGGGAAAAAAAATAGGGTTTCTGATTTCCAGCAATCGAGAAGGTGGAAAGAGAGAGCGTTGTAGAGAGAGGAAGAGAGTTAAAAGTATACATAAAGAGGGAGAAGATATATAAAGAAAGGGAGGGGGGTTCTGCTATAATCTATGAACAAAGAGTGAAGAAGCTCGCGATGAGGTTTAGGGCACTAGTGGGAAAATCGATCGAATTGCCCTTTTAGAATGACCTTGGAACCCCTGGACAATTTTCATAATGGCGATATAGCCCTTAAAGTTTTATGTTTCTGAGACAAAATTAACCGTAGGGATGGTAAATAGGCTGGGTAAAAAAAATTTAAAAAAAAGGCTTGGGCAATAACCGGGTCGGGTCGGGCCATGCCGGGCTAAAACCACTTGGCCCAGCTTTACCTTTATTGTTGTATATTTTTTTTGCATCGTTTTTACTTTATTCTATCTGGCCTGGCCTGGCCTTGTCCCCAAGACTTGGGAGGGTTCGCCCTTGGTGGGAAGGGGCCAGCCTGCCGTCAACCCTAATTTGCCGTTTTCGATTGAGAATGATAGGAACTAACCAGATTCCCAATTCGAATGGGAATGTGTTTGATTTTGATCGAATGGATCAGTGATTCGAATCGGTCACACCCATATCCATGTCGGATCAAGGGAATTTGTGGTAATGTCGGATTGAAAAAATGAATGGAATTGGTAATTTTTGTCCCAAAATTTTTTAGAAAATAATTTTAAAATAACTATTTTTCTCTTTTTTTCTTGCTTGACTCAATGAAGAATTAGTCAGAATCGGTTAAACTCAATGAAGAATCAACGGAATCGACGGTTCCACAAAAAATTCGGCAAGTGTATCATTATTAATCGACCGAATCTCGATTTTTTACCGGATCAAGACGGTCATAGCGATTCTCAATTTGGATCACCCGATTCCGGATTGAGTCACCGATTTTTTAATCACTGATTTTGACGGACTTGCCCATTTATATCGGAGACTTGAGCGAGTATGTAGGAAACGGGCTGATCTGAATCGCCTACATTGTCTGGTTCCCATCAATACGAAATGAACAATTTAAGACTTTACTTAATTTTTAAAATTCATTTTCAAAACACGTAAAAAAAATCATATGATATTGAGTTGGAATAGTTCCAAAAGGGTAAAGTATTGAATAGTTAACTCCTTATAGGTATTTTGATATTTTTTTATTTCTAATTTTTTTCAAAATTAAATTTATTAATAAATTTGTTGGATCCAAATCTCAGATAAAGAATCAGTCAAATTCACTAATCCTGATTACCTAAGGTTTGAAAATTTGGCGATCAGGATCATCAGAACCAAGAATCGTCAACAACAATTTGGATCCCTCGAGTCGCGGGTCCTACCTGAATCGCCTATTCCACAGTAGCGAATTGGCAATTTGCTACATTAAAACACCGATTCCACTATTTTGGGCATAGGTTTTCCATACTTTCGATCCAGATTTGCGGCTTTTTTATCCATCTTCGTGGCCTTTTTTTTCCCATAAATATTACTCTAAAATGATTGCAAATTGGTTATATAACCATTATTTTATCTATTTTTGAAAAAAAAAAATCAGATTTGGCAATCAAAATCAGGGGTTTTTGGAAGCTTTTGTAGAAATCCATCATTCTATGGATTTCAGCTTCGATTTGTCATCAAATGTCCTGAAATTTGGTTTTATTTGGAGATAATTAAAATTACACGATATTATATTGCTAATTTGTTCGATTAAATTAGGATCCCAATCGATTTTGCTTCAAAGTCCAATAAATCGAAACGTTCCCGAGACTTTAATGGTAAAAAAAAATCAATAAATCAATGGGTATTTCAGTTGATTTGGATCATATTTTAATAGGGTTTTTGATCTACAGAGCTTTAGCTTTGATATATATCAAGATATTTTCACTTTCATTTGGTACATTTTTTCTACAAATTTTTTTTGCATGAAGATAGCACGGATTACGGTTTCCGCTATTTCAAACTGTTATCCCTCAAATTTCTATCAAAATCCTTGAAAACTTGAATCAAAATGATCATAGTGAACTTGTCTTCTTGTCTTCCATATTACATATCCAATACAATGTATAGAAATCGAAAACAGCATAGATTTTGGGCCAAATTACAAATTGATTTTTTGGGATATTGAGAACTTGTTTTAAAAAAAAATGGAAATTTAATAATTTTATGGAGAAACTAGGGCTTTTAATGCATTTAGGTTATTGATTCATATGGTATGTGATTCAATTTTTATTATTTTTTTATTGTATAAAATTTGATGCCATTATTTTTGTTTTTTTCTAAGGAAAATAATTTTTTAAAGATATTTTTCGAAAATGTCATAGCCTGAAATCTATGAGGGGCTCTATTTTTGAGAAAAGTTTATATAGAGCCGAGGCTCTAAACAATCAAATTAGAGCCTATGTCAAATATTTCACTAGAAGAGGTTGTTTTGATGCTCAAATATCCTCAAATTTATCATCTCGACATCAAGTTGCATGGATATGAGAAAAAAAATGGATTTCAAGTTTGGAAATAGTGTATTTTGTAATGAATTTTTGGACCGTCAATTTTCATGATTTTGAAACTTTTATAGATCTGTCGATCTATACTATTTTTTAAGCTTTAAACTTTATAAATAAAAATCAAAATATATTTTAAGGCTATCACAAAGATTTCGAATGTTGAAACCACATTTCTCAATGGTATTTGAAGGTAGGCTCTAATTCGATTGTTTAGAGCCTAGGCTCTATACAAACCGCACCATTTATTTTTTTTATTTTATATTTTGGTAGATATTGTATTATATTTTTTGACCAAAAAGCATTTATTATGTTATGCATTAATAAGAAATTATTGTATTTTATTTATTAATTTGTTTATATTATAAATTCTATATTGTATTATTTTTGTTATAACTAAGATATTTTTAAAAGGTGTGGTATATGGTTGCAACCTTAAACAATCCCACTATGGTGCACCTTCAAATTTTATCATAATATATAATTTTGATGTAAAATGTTATTGAGATTATCTCAAAATCTATTTTTATATCTAATTATAATATTTTAAATTTTAAAAATAGTTAAAATCAAGTAAATCTATAAATGTATGAAAATCTTAAAAATGGACGGTGTAGATAATATGTTGTAACATGCACTATTTAAGAGACTCAAAATCTTTTTAAATTTCATAGTCATACATCCCGATGATCAATCACAAGTTTTTCAACTTTAAAACATCCTTTTTCGATGGATTTTTGAGGTGCACCCGTAGTTATACATTATAAGGTTTCAACCTTATATAAACTTTTTTCCTTTTTTAAAAGGTGTGGTTTCTATAATGTTGCAACCTTAAACAATCCAATTAAGGCCCAACTCCAAATTTTATCTAATTTGATTGCAAAAAAGTCTTAGGATTATCTCAAAATCTATTTTCATATCTAATTTTAAAATTTCAAACTTCAAAAATAGCCAAAATCAAGTAGATATATAAACATATGAAATCTTAAAAGTGGAAGGTCTAGATATTGTGTTGTAAGATGCACTAATTATGAGACTCAACATCCGTTTTCTTTTTATATTCACGCATATCAATGTCAAGATGATCAATTAGAGGGTTTTTTAACATTAAAACAATATTTTATGATAGATTTTTGAGGTGCATCTTAATTCTACATTCTAAGGTGGTAACCTTATATAAATATATATATATTTTTTAAATTAGATGATATTATAAAATAGTTTAAAGTTATTCATATTTATATGTAAAATAATTATAAATTATGCACTAATAAATTTAATTTTAGAGCATAATATTATAGTTGGTTAGTTTGTGATAATTTTGAAGGAGTAAAGAGAATTAATAATGTAAGTGAGGAAGGCCACTAAATTGGGTAAGCACAATATTAGTGTGGGTAATGGTTTGATTGGCATTTTGGTTTTGGCGATTAGTATACTTGTGCAAGAATAATTAAATGGACACTTGAAGAGAGAGAGAGAGAAAGAGAGAAGGTTCATACCATTTCAACTGAGTGAGAACAAGTATTTGTCATTCAAGTAAAAAAGGAAATAATTGTTTATTATGCTTAACATAGGCCACAGCAACTCTATGATTGTCGAGAGGCTGAGAGCTGGCCTCTTACATTGTAGTCGAGCCTTGAGAGAGAGAGGATGCGGTAATGTCATTTTTGTTGAAAAAGAAACCATTGTTTAACGCATAATGCACCACCCCCAATATCACCTATATTTATTTATTTTTCGAAAACTAAAAAAACACTATTTTAAAGGTTTTTAGTTAATTTTTGAAATTCTTTGAGGCAAAACCCAACTGATTCCCTGTTCGAAATCGCCGGCTATGGTTTTTGGGATGGCCGATCTAGGTTACCGGTTTGTTTTTTAATTATGGAAGTTCGTCTTTATTTTTGTATATTAGGCGTGCATCACTGTTATCATTTTTATTCCGATGTTGCCAGTTACTAATTTTGGATTTTCAATATCTGAGGATATATTTTTTAATTTATTTTTAAATCCAATAAAAACGAGAGCTCTAAAATTGAAAAACCTTCTAATTGATCATATTGATATTGAGATACATTAATGTAAAAGAAAACAAAAAAAGTATTTAACGACTTAAAATAATACATCTTGTAACAAGTTATCTAGACCATCTATTTTCAAGATTTTTAAGTATTTATTGATCTACTCGATTCGCAACATTTTTGAAATTTTGAATTTTATAATAAAAGTTGAACATGGATTTCAAAATCATCATAATGTTTCTTATACTAGAACATCTTTCAACAAAATGTAGAGGTATGCCTTACTTGCACCAAATGAGATGGGGATCTTATAAGAACCTTACCCATGTGTAAGCGTGTAAAAAAGCGCATATAAGACGGCAACTTTATAATATAAAAACCCGCCAAAAAAAGTTGCTGCCATCCCTTAGCCTTTTGACTGATCATCTCAACCTCATAATGGATGAAAATGAAAAAAAAGGAAAAGATTTGAAGTCGTAAATATACTGCATCTTGTAACATATTATCTTGTAACATATTATCTAAACCGTGCCATGAGGCCAACACGAGTATTCACACTCTTGACCACGTGGCATAATTGTTGTGTCTCCATTGTGTCCATGGAAACGGATGTTCAAGGGGGTAACTGTACATTACACTTCTGTGGGAGCACGCTATACACACTCAGCTATACTTAGGAACATATTTAGACCTAAAGATCTTAGGAGGACATCCTCCCCAACATAAAAAAGAAAAACACTTCTTAAAATCGAACAGAGACGATCCAAATTCTAGTTGATCACATCTACGTGTTTGAAAACTCAAAAACCTCTTAAAATCCAACCATCCAAATTTTAGTTTATCACATCAAGTGTTTGAAAACTCAAAATCCTCTTACAATCCAACGGAGACCATCCAATTTTTAGACTGTTACATCAAAATGTTTCAGAACTCGAAATCATAATTCCTTATGTAAAATTCTCATCTAGATACTCCAAACAAATCTGAATAATTCAGATCAACTAAATCCTCACAAGTATCTCCTTTGCCTGAGGGACCATTGGAGTGCTTCCGCAGAGCTCGACTCGACGTACACAATATTGTGAGCTGTTTCTAGCTTCCAACGGCACCTATAAACTTATCTTAGTTTTTTACATCTTAAATTTTATTGTCTCGGTTTTCTTATCTTAAATTTTATAACTTACATGGGAACTTTTATGTAGAGGGATTGCCTAAAGAGACCATTTTTCTTCTGCACATATAGGTCACAATCATTCTTATCCCTTGAATTTCAAAATAAGTGGTCGTAAAAGTATCATTGAATAGACTCAAAGGCTAAAAAATTTTTCGTACTTTGTGCCTCATCCTGAGCCATCCAATTTGACATTTAATGAGAGAATAATTGACTTCCATGTACCAAAATAAATGCTCTCTTTGTCGACAATCCCTTTTATATTTACTCTTATATCTCTGGATTTTACACAAATAGAGAAGCTCATTTTCTCACACACACCCCAAATCAGCATTCTAATAAGAATATAATAATTAAATACTATTTTACAGTAATAATAGCATCTAAATGAGGCTGGCAGTGATCAGCAATACGTGCTTCCTCGATCCCATCTTCATTTCAACTCTCATAGGACCTCTCTAGCTACTTCAGTTTCTAGCACTGTAAACAAAGGAAGAGAAAGATATAAGTAAATTCATACACAATTCTAATGCCGAAAACTCAAGACAAAGTTAAACAGCTGCAATTGGGAAATCATATTGTGCCAGTTTCAA